CAACAAATAGTCTGAAAATATGGCAAATTTAACACATAAACTGGATCCAGTGATAACTCAAAAAGTACTGAAAATATTTTTATGAAACTTGAAATATGGGTAGATGGCAGTCTGGAGATTATGCACATCTTTTTCTTTTCTTCCTATGTTGAAAATTCTGGTTGCTATGGCAACAAATAGCCTGAATTTCAAGATTTCTGATTTAAATTTTTCAGCTTTTTCACTATATGTTCTTTATTTCTTAAGGGGTTTACTTCAAACTTTAAATATAAGTTTCTGGTCATCAACCACATCATATGTGACAAGGTTTATAACTCTAGCACAAAAAATATCAATATTACCTCCCTTGAACTTAGATTTTTTAGGGGAAAAAATGTTGTCTTTTTTAAATAACTTCTTTATTTCCTAATGTATCTACTTCAAACTTCATATATATGTTTCTTATTATCACTCGACATTTTTGAGAAGGTTAAATACTCTAGCAAGACTATTTCCAGAATTATGTCCCCCTTGAACTTAGATTTTTTTCGAGAAACTGGTATTTTCACTCCAACTTCTTCATTCCTTATAGGATTTACTTTAAAATCCCACATTGTAATAATATGACAAGGTTGTATAAACATAATTTCCTTACTAAGCATGGAAACTTAACACATTACTGTGATATAGACAAACTTATTTTATTATGTTTTGTGGTCGATATTTTCAAATACAGACTTCATCCTCAAATTCATTATAAATGGCAATACACAGGAGTGTATGACAATTAAAGAACTTTTTGAGGGACCGGTAGGGGACTACTGTATTGCCCGCAATACTATCAAATGCTTGTTATACATGTGTCTTACCAAGGGAAACATGTTTTTTTGTTTGCTGCCAATCAAGTCTAATTATACTTCTTCATTGAATAAGTAACAGAAGTAACAAGTGCATATACTGGTACATTTGCTGTGGCAGCGCACTAGGAACGGGCTACCCCACTTTAGTTTATCACTATTGTGCATTGTTTTTAGTCGCAGGATAAGTCAATATTTTAAAGCATGATTAAAAGTGCTTTGTGTACAAAAATTTCATGCTAGGCAAAGTAGTTTTTGTCTCAGAATTACAAGTTTTCCTGATCCACAAGCCAAATGAAATAAAATCTTGATTAACAAGATGTTCTTGCTTCTGAAAAGGGTTGTATAGAAAGAATGTGTAAATCAGAAATTTTACTGGTACAGAATGTAGAAATATTGTTAGGTAAATGCATGCTGTTATATACTGAAATACGATGAAACTCACACTTAAATCAATCAAAAAACTTGTTAGACTTAAGTGGGCTTAATTGTTTGTTACTCATAGATGTTGCTTAATATTTGTTTTAATGAGAAAATGCTTTTGTTTTCAGGATTTGTGTTTTTGTTTGTTTGGTCCCATGTGTCAGGTTTCATATAAGTTGTGTGGCAGTCATAAGTGTTATTAACCAATAAAAAGTGAACCTTTGTATTGTTGCTATGTTAATAAATTGTGCATTAACCATGTCATTGTCATAAAATATATGAAATTTATGTATTTTTTGTTATATTTTATTCTCCCATTACATAACTGGATTAACTAAGAACTAGTTCAATACCTTTTAAAGATACTTTAATACTTTTCCTTAGAAATTCAATGTATGGCCGATTACGTTTTGAATAAACCTCGGATTTCAGATTCACTCATTTGTGCGAGTCATACTGTAGGCCATTGCAAGGATGATACTCGAGACCTTCACAATATGAGATCTAGCTTTGAGTGGATAGTTCAAGGATTCGTTAGGCTTCAGTTTATAGTAACCAGGCCAGCCCGTTATTTATTGATAGATTTATGGTATGGTATTTTGTTAAAATGTACAAAAATGTAAAAATGTTTTTAATTGACCATCTTTGGAATACTAACCGGGAAAGACGAGAGACCTAATATCTCTGGTAATACCGTAGGTGCTATTAACCGCCCAGCCTTATGTACATGTATGAGAGAGTTATAACTTCCTCCAATGTCACAAAGAAGCGACATCACACTGCTTGTCAATCAAATTGACTGAGCCAATGCAGGTAGATAAGTCAATCAGATTGATTATCAGTTCCATGCTATTGTTCCTGCAAACAATACCATTATTATTTTGCAACAGTTTGCATTTTCTCAATATGGTTTGGATATTGAATTATTAATAGATATCGAAAATATAGGCATTTATCCTAAACTTATTTTTACCATGACCATGCTTTTGAATCATACAATTAACAATGAGTTTTGAATGAGGTATTGTAATCAAACTTGGTATATAGCAACCTTATGTAGATTGCTTTTAAACCCCCTAGGTCAAGGATAGGCAATTAATTCTAATAATTATTAATACACAGTGAAACATCATTTCAAATTTTGCTTCAGACCACTTATTTTTCAAAAAGTCAAGGTTGCTGGTATGAATCATCTTCAGTGATAGCTCTAGTTACCTTGCAGGTCTTCCAATAGGATTCCCCCCACTTGTGTATTGTCCAAATATTACCTGTTCTGTATGTAAAATGGTAAATAACCGGTTATTATTGATTGATCTTTAAACATAAAACAACTAAAAACTCATTTGTAACTCTCATATATTTCTTTTTAAAACACAAATACATATATACAGAAATACATTAAATACAATTCAATATGTACATTTTTCTTGCGTAAAAATAATTTGTAAATTGTTATTATAAAATGAATAAAATACTACCTGAGAACAAACAAAAAGTTAACATTTAACATAAATAATTTATGGACAGTAAATATCAGAAAATTTCATTGTAATTATTTTAATTTTTAATCATGCATTCAACTTTAATATGATAATGTATCACTTATAAATATATATTGACCATATATGTATAAATTCATTATAAAATGACAGAAAATTAATTATAAAAGACATTTTCTTCTCTCCATTGTACATGTGTATTTATATTTTAGAATAGATTGAACATTGAAAGTACTGTTATTTTCCTATTACAGTAAAAGGCACACAGTGTAAACAAAAATCATTGATATAATATATAACAATTTATCAATATAAATTTCATGAATATTTAACAAATATGTGTGTTCAATGTTATATAATTATTATATGTTCCAATATAAAAAATTGGGTAAGGTTAGGCCATCCTTAAAAAAATGTTTGTGAGTAGGTAGGTCGATTTTTTTTTTTTTATTGAACTGTACTCCCAAATAAACATGGAATTTCAAAATGCTGGACAATATATGCTTTGATAATCTGGTAACAATTAATAAATTGATAACTGAATTCTAATTTAATAAGCACTACATTTTATTTCTTCTATTAACCTTTAAAAGAACGAAAACAAAACACAAGGCATAATTTTCTGATTCAAAAATTTTTTTTAGTCCCCTACCGGTTTAACCGGAGGGGACTTTAGGTTTACCCTCCGTCCGTCTGTCTGTCCGTCTGTCTGTCAGTCCGTCAGTCCGTCCGTCCACAAAACTGGATCCCACGATAACGCAAAAAGTACTGAAAATATTTTTATGAAACTTGATATATGGATAGATGGCAGTATGGAGATTATGCACGTCTTTTTTTTTTCTTCCTATGTTGAAAATTCTGGTTGCTATGGCAACAAATAGTCTGAAAATATGGCAAATTTAGCACATAAACTGGATCCAGTGATAACTCAAAAAGTACTGAAAATATTTTTATGAAACTTGAAATATTGGTAGATGGCAGTCTGGAGATTATGCACATCTTTTTCTTTTCTTCCTATGTTGAAAATTCTGGTTGCTATGGCAACAAATAGCCTGAATTTCAAGATTTCTGATTTAAATTTTTCAGCTTTTTCACTATATGTTCTTTATTTCTTAAGGTGTTTACTTCAAACTTTAAATATAAGTTTCTGGTCATCAACCACATCATATGTGACAAGGCTTATAACTCTAGCACAAAAAATATCAGTATTACCTCCCTTGAACTTAGATTTTTTAGGGGAAAAAATGTTGTTTTTTTAAATAACTTCTTTATTTCCTAATGTATCTACTTCAAACTTCATATATATGTTTCTTATTATCACTCGACATTTTTGAGAAGGTTAAATACTCTAGCAAGACTATTTCCAGAATTATGTCCCCTTGAACTTAGATTTTTTCGAGAAACTGGTATTTTCACTCCAACTTCTTCATTCCTTATAGGATTTACTTTAAATAATATGACAAGGTTGTATAAACATAATTTCCTTACTAAGCATGGAAACTTAACACATTACTGTGATATAGACAAACTTATTTTATTATGTTTTGTGGTTGATATTTTCAAATACAGACTTCATCCTCAAATTCATTATAAATGGCAATATACAGGAGTGTATGACAATTAAAGAACTTTTTGAGGGACCGGTAGGGGACTACTGTATTGCCCGCAATACTATCAAATGCTTGTTTTTTATCCAGACCATGAAAAAACATTTGAGTAGGGGCAAATTTTGTGAGTCGGTCGCGTTACTGCAAACGAACATTTTTTTAAGGATGGCCTTATTAATCCTATGTAAAGTCTTTTGGTAAAACCAAAAAGAAATGATGCACCACAATGTTACTTTTTTTCTTTGTTATTAATTGTGATTTTTTTTTTTATCATTTCATTATAGAATAATATTAAATGTAGTCACACAAATGTTATTTAACAGGCTAGCCTTATGATGCTTCTACAGACTTCTTTAATACAAGTCTACATTAAATAACTCCTAAAAGATCAAATAAAAATCTACAAATTGTCACCTTGGTGCAGTTAAAAGATAAATCCTATAAATATTTTAATTTCTAACAACATACTTAAGCAACATACTTTTAATAAATAAAACATCAATGATTTTGCTTAAAATTGATAGTCATATATTTTGTGTTTAATTAATTCATTTAACACCTGTGTATAATCTACGTTTGAATTAATTTCATTATTTCAACATTCAGTGTAATAAGTTTCTTAAGGCTGCTAATGCCTACACTAAATACATTACTACATGCTTAAACTATTATATTGCCAAATGAAACATAACTAAGTTACTAAGAAATATTTTTTAGATGACAAAGCTTCATTTTCAGGAATACCCTCTTCCTCGATTGACATGTGATAGTTTTTCTAACTGCGATGACATTCTATCAATGGCCTCAGAAGAAACATTTGTAATGGCTAGATTAAGATCTCTAAGATTGACCAACTTGTCTCCAATATAGGTCAGGGCATTGTCTGTGATACTTGTTGCAGAGATGTCTAGTTGCTCAAGATTTTTAGCATTTTTACTAAAACATAAACATTTAATTCCGTTGTCTGTAACTTTAGTCCCAGCAAGTCCAAGGCTTTTCAAATTTGATAAATTCAGGCCTATGTCTTCTACTGCAGAATCTGATATGAATGTATAACTTAGGTCTAAGCCCCTCAAACTGACCATGTTTCTACAGATAAAATGCACACCAAGGTCAGCCACTTTTGCAGAAGTAAGTTTAAGAACTTTTAAACAGGTAAAGTTTTCAGCAAGTAGTTTCACTCCCGTATCAGTAACTCTATATAATTCTTCAAGGTTCAACTCTTCTAATGATGTGAATTTCAATATGCTGCCAATTTCAGAATCATCTATACGTGTTGTTTTTCCGAGGTCGAGAATCTGCAAGTTTGGTAAATCTGCATCATTCAACCATCCTAAAGGCCAGCCGCATTCTCGTAGTTTGAGGTGGGTAAGAGATTTTGGCAGTGTACTGGAGGACATTCTATCCAAGAAAAATCTATGCAACTGGAGCTCCTGTATGTTTGGACAAGCCGAGCTTATCTCTTCGAGTAAAGCGTCAGATAATAATTGCTTTTTCTGTCTCTCACTTCCAGCTTTAAATAGAAAAAGAAAATAAAATAATAAAAGAAAAACTACAATAAAAAAAATTTCACAAAATATAATTTTAAGGACCTTTGTTTGGTTGCAGCTATTTCGTGGCTAAAATTTAGCCATTCAACTTATTTTACTCCTATTTCTTCAAAATTGTTTCCCCTCCATCAGTTGAAAGAACAAATGCTGTCACATACATGTTACACAGGGTGTTCACTAGCCATGAAATCCTGAGGGTCATTTTGACTTAGTTTAACCGACTACAAGGCCAAATCCCCATGATTTTAACAAAATTTGACCCTCCAGTTAAAATCCTGAGGGTCAAATCAGGCCTTTTGGAAATTTGAAGGGTCAAAGAGTCATTTTAAGGGTCTAACGGACACCCTGATGTAGTTGGACTGGATGTTCCATTTTTCTAAGGCCCTGATACTAAAACATGAGTGGAAGTTAAAAAAGTGAATATCTAATATATTCAGTGCTTAAAGAGAAATGAAGCTACGGCAGAACCAAATTATATCTTACAATCCCATATCTTCTGATTGATTCAAAATGAAAACATTATTTGTTAACAACTCAATATTTACATAATTATTTATAATTCTGGGAAATTAGCAAAGATTGGTGTTATATATTACATTTCGCATTGTAGTATCCAACCATCTTCAGACTTCTTAGAACATCAGATAACCGTGTTCGATAAAATTTCCATACTTTTCTCAAGTCAAGCCCTACAAGTTGTGTCATGTCAATGTTTTTCCAAAGTGTCTTATCACATGCTATTCGCCTCCATGAGTGACATACCCTGAAAATCACAAATATGGACAATAAGCAAAGGAAGCAGCAAATTTGTTACATGTAGTCCTTTAAATATGACGTCGTTTCAGTGATTTTTCTCACTTAATTGGGAAGAGGCCTTAGCCTCTTGATTTGGGGAAAAATTATCGCTAAAACTGCTGATTTGGGAAGTAAAAAAGCTGGTTTAAGTTCAGATTTTTGGGAAAACTGCATGATTTTAAAGAAAATTTCAATTGGGAAGAGGCCTTTTTTCGGAGTCTGTTATATAAGTAGGAAAATCACTGCGTTTTGAGATATTTTTCCTTCCTGGCAAAGCAGAGTCGTTAGGCTTGCCCAACTAAGACTATCAGCAAGCCAATATGTCTAATATTTTGATCTACAAATTGTCAATAATTGATAAAAAATCACCCCGCAAAACACACACAAACTCCCCCCCCCGCCCCCCCCCCCAACAACTGTGTATTCAAGAATATATAATGTTCGGCAATTCATGGAAGTTCTCAAGAAAGTTCAGTTCTATGAATAACAACATCATTTTGTAACACCTTAAGATCGTCAATAAACACTGATAAATGAATCATTAGTTTCAGTTTTTATTTAAGTTAAAACTAAGGCATATAATATGCAACTGGCTATAACAAACAAACGAACAGAAAAATACTAGTAACAGTCAAAAATCACTTGTATCGCAAACTAGTCAAATCGGTCCCAAGTCAGATCGGCCTCAAGTCAAATTGGCCCCAAAATAAGACAATTCCGCCTCAAAATTAGTCAAATCGGCCACACAACAATTTTAAAAAGTCAAATTGGCCCCAACATTAGTCAAATCGGCCCCAAAACTAGTCAAATCAGCCCTAAAGTTATATTCATGAAAAATCCTATTTTGGTTAAAATAATGTTATTAGCCAAAAATAACAAGGTTATTTACTTTGAAGATAAATAATTCTGTGAAAAACAAACAATTATCACGTGCCTTTAATCAATTTAGTCATTGTCTCAAATAATCATGCATTGAATTCGGCTTTTTTAACAAAAAATTTTGTGTGAAGTGAATTTAATCAGGTATGTATAAAAAGATTGATTTTTTAAGCAACAGTCAAAAATGTACTTTTACTGTTTACTGTTAGTAATTCAGGGATCTTTTGTGCATTGATTATTTTCCTTTAATTTTGGAGATTATTTACGTTGTTGGACTAAATTGTAAAAATTGCTTTTTTTTTTGGTGACTTATACTAAAGTGACATAACGAGCATTTTTTTACGATGTCAAGTTGAATTTCATTAGTAATATATTTGAACAGAGGCTAGTATAATGATCACAGACTGATAATTGATCATGAAAAATGTGTGTGATACAATATAAATTTAATTAATGTTAATTTCTAATTTGTATAATATTCAAATGAATATACATTTATATTATAATTGTTGACTCTGAAATACTTTCATTTAATTTTTCTGCTTGCAGTTATCGTACGAAGCAACTGTCCGCAACGGCACTGCTGAAGAAGGTTTCAAGTCTTTACCAACCCTGGGTGCTTAGACAAGAAGCAGAGTAATGTGCGAGTAATGTTCAGTGATTAGAAGTGACAATTACATGAGAAGTGACAATTACATACGTATACTGTTTCATATGTTTATAGACAATAAATTAGATTGATTATTATATGTTTTGTTCTTGTCTTCTATGTAATCCATGGCGAGTAATGTTCAGTGATAAGAAGTGACAATGGTACATGTATACTGTTTTATATGTTTATAATACACTGAAGATAAATGTTAAACGTTATACTCAGACAATAAATTAGATTGATTATTATATGTTTTGTTCTTGTTTTCCATGTAATCCATTGTTTGTCATAAAATTGTCATTGGTATTCCCATTTACACATTTTTTTTAAGCCCAAGAGGTAACTCCGTTTATTTAAAAATAAGAAAATGAATAATGAATTAAATAATAAAAAAAAAATGGGGCCGATCCGACTTGAGGCCAATTTCACTTGGGGCGATTTGACTATTTTGGGGCTGATCTGACTTGGGGCCGATTTGACTGTAAATCCTTGTATCCAAATAAAAGAATACAATTATGACTAGCTAAATAAACAAAAAATCAAATATTCTACACGGGGTGAATAAAAACAAGAGCTGTCCGTAAGACAGCGCGCTCGACTTTTTTATTGCTTGCCAATAAAAAAAGTTTTTGCAGTAAAAGGCAATACAAGAATCTCTGTATTTTTAAAGTGAACTAGTTGTTTGATACCCTTGAATATTACAGCAATGTTTATATGACATAATTTATGGTAAAGTGAACAAGTGGATAGGAATGAATTTTTTTAGATTTTTTAAGTTTTTTAGTGCTTGCCTATAATACAAAACATTGACAGTTAAGGGCCATAATTCAAATAAAATCTTTGACAGAATTACCTTCTCCTGGACATGTTTGGGAATCATGATTGTAAACAAGTATTCCAACTTTCAAATTAATATCTCAAACCAAGATTCTAAGTCGATAAAAGGCCTTAATTTTTAAAACAAATCCTTGACAGAGTTACCTTCTCTTGCGTACAGATGGGGGTAATGATGTGAAATAGCATTAAAAGTTTCAAAGCAATATCTCAAAGGGTTAAGGCAATAAGTGGATTTTACCCATATTCAATGTATTTTCTAAGTCAAAAAGGGGCATAATTCTGTCAAAAACCTTGACAGAGTTATGTCCTCTTGTCTGTTGATGAAGGTCGTGATGGTAAACAAGTATGGTCAGTTTCAAAGCAATACCTCCAATGGTTTTGAAATAAAGTGAGGTGGTACAAAAAACTTAACCAAGCTCAATACACTTTCTAAGTCAAAAAAGGGCCATAATTCTGTCAAAAACCTTGACAGAGTTATGTACTCTTGTCTGTAGATGGAGGTTATGATGGTGAACAAGTATGGTAAGTTTCAAAGCCATACTTGTAATACTTCTGAAATAAAGTGGGGTGGTACGAAAAACTTAACCAGGGTGTGACGCCGACGCCGGGGCGAGTAGGATAGCTCCCCTTTTCATAGAAAAGTCGAGCTAAAAAAATAGTACGAAAATATTTGGAACGAATTTAATTCTTCAATTAATGCGGTTTTAAAACATGAATCTACCTGCTTATTTTGCATAATTCTTTTACGGACAAATAACTAAATATGTTTAAAATCAAAACGTCTGGTAAACTTGACAGATTCACGTCCATCTTCCTTTTTTAAAAAAAATTGCCGTGAACTTCAACCAAAGTTTGTGAAACGTAAGAACAACTTGACCAGGATAATTACTAGATATGAAAGTTGTCCCCCTTTAATTTTGTTGCTAAGGCGCAATAGTTTCTACCTTGGTTATTTATCATATCTGGTTAATTTAAAGGATAATACAAACAACTTTTATTCTATGATACGACTTACTACTCCTCTAAAAAGATAAAGGATTGGTGAAGTTATAGATTGTTTTTCTCTCGAAGAATTGGAACTACTTTTTAAGCGTAAAAGAGTCAAAACTACGTTGTACGGTACTTCCGCTGTTAATGTAATCAACAATGGCGGCTGTGACAGGAGTTACTGATTACTATGAAAGAAAAGGGTCTCTTTTCTTGAGATCAGATCATATGAACTATGGAAGAGCTACATTAAACTCCAATTGGTATATATATTTTTAAGTTTCACTTTCTTTCACTTATGTCGAGGCAGAATAGTCTCGATCTTTAGTTTGTGGGACTTCCTTCATCAGTTCATGTTTTTACAAATTTTATGCATAATTTACGGAAGGCTTAGAGCTATATAGAGCCATCATATATACCGTTTGATTTTTTAGCATGATTGGTTGTTACTATCAGAGACATAGATAATGTTATCTATGTCTCTGTTACTATGCTGACTAAGAATTAAATTAATCTTTCCTTGAAATGTTGAGGATCATTATCTGATTATTATAGAGGCAACATCAGACTATCATACAACTGTACAAAATACCTGTAGGATACCTGTAAGATGATTCTCGGCTCTGGTGGAAGGTCTAAGCCTTTTAAGACAAAATAAAAATCAGTTAATAACGGGTTCAAAGAGCTGGTCTGAAGGTCTTGCTCGCAAAGCGCGCTTTATGGATAAGCGAGTACCTGCTAGTTGGTGATGGATTTGCCTTTTTCATATTAAATTAGAATTCTTT